TACATATATTTTTATTTCATTTTATTTTATTTTATTATTTTATTTGTGTATTTTTATTTATTTATTTATTTTTTATTTTTTATTTTTTATTTTTTACTTTTTTTTTACTTTTTTTCAACCGTTTTGTATCTTTCATGTGGGTTCATCTACCACCGACCCCAATTAATTTGGGATAAAGGTGTTGTTGATGTTGATGTTGATGTTGCTGCTAGTGCAAGCAGTTTCTTATGTAGACTCTTCACAGAGAGTCAATAATCAAAAAATTAAAAAAAAAAAATACTAAAACAAATGTGATCACTAAAAGGAAATTACCTTCATGATAACCAATTTAACATCAGAATTTCTCTCATCGTCATGAAGAATTTCAAGTAGCCGAGATACCTATAACAAGAAGACACAAGCAAAACGCACATACAAAGCGAACATCAAAATAACCTTTATCCTATAAACTAGTCAACGAAAAAGAATATAATCTATACAAAAAAACGGAATTACATGGATTTCAAACTCTAGAGTTCAAAAGCTAAAATAGAATTAAAAATCAATCAAAAAACAAAGAAAAACAAATTAAAAATGAAACCTCAACTCAGAGCAATTGTTTAGGCCTGTTTAGCGTCAAAACTCTCGCAGATGGTTTACGCTCCATCAGAATCTGTTGAACAAAATGAAAAACAGTTCAGAACTTCATTTTTTTTTTAACAAAATGAAGGAAAATGAAAATACAAGTTTAATCTGATAGAGGTATAAACAAGCCCAAAAAACGCAAGAAGCAACACTGCAGCAAAAAAAATGAAAATAGCATATGATTAATTTCAACCCTCACATCCCTATTATCGGACCCATCTCTGCTAGGGTGCGAAGTCGAGGTTCTGAGAAGAGAAGCGATGGTGCATCTCGTCGCTGACACAAATTTGAATAAGATTTGTTGAATTTGGGTGAAATGGGTATTATATAGCCGATCTGAGAGTATCACACTGAAGGATGACGATGAATCTACGATAACACAATCAAATTAGGGTTTGACAGGCTATTTTCCCGAGAAAATTATACACTCCGATGGAAAATGAGTTGTATTTTTTTGATCCATGGGCCAGCCCTAACCTAACCCAATAAATGAAAGGGCCTCATGGGTTAGGGCTAAGATGGCCCTTCACAAAAAAGGGCTGAAAAACTGATGGGGCTTTCATAGGGCCAAATGGGCTAGCCCTAGGGCTGTGGGCCTTTTTGACAGGTCTACCATCAGCTACGGATATGGTATGACTACCAACAATAGGATGATAAGAAAGAAAAGACTCAGTACGACAAGTCATATGATCAGTTGCACCAGAATCCAAAATCCATGAGGTTTTCAAATCAGTGCAAGAAGCAAGAAGAGATGTAGAACATGTGTTCTTACCAGACAAGATCAAAGAACGGTCAAATGGCTTACATATATTATCAATAGCGGGTTTAAGTTGATCCAACTCTTTTTGCTGAATATTCATATATGGAGAGACATGTGGAGACTGCATAATAATCGAACCATCTTCTAAATCGACCATAGTGATAAGAAAGAGTGAAAAATAGCACCAAAAAACACACAACGGTCACCCAAATGACGTCAGATCAGAGACAAAAACAAGCAGGAATTTTTTTTTTTTTTGTGAACAGTACCCGGTGAACAGTGCGCGATAAACAGTGCCACTTTTTTTTTTGAGCTGTTCCGGTCATCTGATGAAAAAGAAACCTCCGTAGAATGATAGATCTAAGAAAACAGAGTGAAACAAGGGTCCTCACGGTCCAAAAGGTCCCCGGAAATTTTTTTCCGGCAGCGGCGAGAGGCAAATAGGGTTTGGTTTTTAAAGACGGTGATTTGCGGAAGCAGATCCCTCAGAATCGAGAGCTCTGATACCAACTTAAAAAAGGGTAATGAAATATATTATTGAATTGTATGTAAACTGTATAAAGGGTTCTCTATTTAAAGAGATTACATGACCTAGAGCTAAGCCCAATACAACAAATAAATAAATATTATTATTTACAGCAATAACTTTTTCATCAGCTGAAATTGATGAAGCGGCCAAGAAAACAAGCATATTCCACATAAAAATAAGGAGGAAGAGATCTCTGCATAAAAGATTATGCACCGCACTCTGGCCAAAGGAACACAATTCCACAGCATCTTGCCTTCCCTTCTGCTCTCGAAACCTCTAGCTGAATAGAAACATAGAGTTTGAAGCCAGGTGGACTGATCTTACATACATCGAAGGGTAAGCTTCATTGAGGAAGCTTGAATTCTTGCACAAAGTGCTTTTCCAAATAATTCATCTAATGAATTCTTTATTCCATAATGAGAGTCTAAATAGACAAAATACAGTTTGAAAATAATAACTACCTACTACAACAAATAAACGTATTGAACTAAAACTACCCACTGCTAGCACTTCTCTAGTAACTACCTATAATCTATCCACTAACTTAAAATAAACCAACAATTCAGAAAATAACAAAATAGTAAAATTAACAAACCCGTAACATTCCCTCCTAAAAATTAATCTTGTCCTCAAGAGTCAGATCAAGTGATTGAATCATCTTCAATATCCATGTTTGCCTTTACATTGCTATTGATTGGAAAATGTCCTCTAGCCATGATTCTTTCTTTCCTCTTCTCAAAAAATTTTAGAAGTGAAACTCTCATTGGATATCTCATATCTAAACCAAAAATCTAAAGTCTTGGTTTGATTGAGAGACTTTGACTGTGTTCAAATTTTTAATAGCAATGGTAGTGTTAAGGGGGATTGCTGTATGAGTGGAAAGTAAAAGAGAGAAATGTTTGGGTGTGGAAGTCTTAGGAATGAAATGGGAGATTTTGGTGGTTGGTACGAGAGCATCTAGCCGATTGGAGAGTTTGGTGAACATCTTCTTCAATTGAATGGAGAGTGCCTGCATCTTTTAGTTTTTCCAATCGTTTCTCCATGCCTGGTGCCTGGCTCTGATACCAAGCTATTACATACATAGAAGGGTAGCTTCATTGAGGTAGCTTGACCTCTTGCACAAAGTGCTTTCCAAATAATTCACCTGATGCATTCTTTATTCCATATGATGAGAGTTTAAATAGACAAAATACAATTTGAAAATAATAACTACCCACTACAACAACTAAACATATTGAACTAAAACAAACTAACCACTACTAGCACTTACCTAGTAACTACCTATAATATATCCACTAACCTAAAATAAACCAACAATTCAGAAAATAACAAAATAATAAAATTAACAAACCCGTAACAACAGACCCCAATGTTCTCAAAACAGAACCTACCATGCAAAAAGAGCTGGCTATTTGTTTGAGTTACCACGAAACAATAACAAACACCAAGATTAAGAGCTTTATGAAGTCAACTTTTTCCGACATGCAGTCAACTTTTTCCGACATGCAGTTAATGCTCCGACACGCATCCGACACTTTTTTTTTTTTTAAGGTCTATATTTTATTTGTAAAGAACCAATTCAACCCAAAAGCTTAAGTATTTGGGTGAGGTTACATTAATGATTTTATATATCTCAACACGCCCCCTCATACGAAACCAATTCGTAGAGGGTGGTATTCTCTACAAGACTAACCAGAGAATCGTTACCCCCACGCTATTTTGGCCAAATTTCATCGTTCAGACCACTTTTTCGGGGGGACTATGGCCGCTTAGGCCACGGAAGTTTGAGGCAATAACAGGTCTGTGATGCCCTTAGATGTTCTGGGCCGCACGCGCGCTACACTGATGTATTCAAGCCCATTGGGCTTGAAGGGTGGACAATGCACAGGCCCACCTACTTGTGCTAAGAAATTCCACAAGAGAAGTGAGAGGCGGTGAGGATCGAACCCGGGACACGAGGCTCTGATACCATGTGAAGAACCAATTCAACCCAAAAGCTTAAGCTTTTGGGTGAGGTTACCTTAATGATTTTATATATTTCAACATTATTTTATTAACTACAAATGAAAAATTAATTTATAAGTCAATTTTTTTTCTGTTATGGAATTTGACATAAAAAATTAACAAGGTATGAAAAATTACTTTTGCTTTATATTTATGTTATGAAATTTGAATATTTGATTGGTTATATGACTTATTATGGACTGTTTTATGTATTAAATATAAATTATATTATATATATTAAAAATATTATTTAATATCAAAATGTGTCTTAATGTGTCGAAATATGACATTTTTTAGAATTAACGTGTCGGCGTGTCGTATTGTGTCGTGTCCCTTGTCGGTGTCGGTGCATCATAGGTGATGGCAGTTAGGCAATTAGGTGAATAAATAGCAGAAATTGTATTAGGAGGGGCATCTTTTGGAAATACTGTGTAACCGAGCACATGCTCAGTTGGAAAAGGGGATTCCCCTTGGAGGAGATGATTCTCCTTGACTCAAGGTAATGCAATAACAGATAACTCCTCTCTCTCTCTCTCTCTCTCTATTTTCCCTTCTCTGTACCCTTAGGCACCAGGTCTTCCTAAGTTTCTATCGCTTTCTAAGTACCAGAGATCTGAAAGGAATCAAGAATGCCTATAAAAGATGCAAGGTAGAAGGTGATACAGATGGGTGAAGGGATCCAAACAGAATGAGGTTCCTTAGAATGAAGTCAAATGGTATTAAATTTTTAATTAATGAATTAACTTAATTCTATGATGCATCGACTTAATTTGGTTTCTTCAACTCTAAGATACATCAACTTTATTCTGATTTGAAAATATAAGGATTTAATTAATGAATGAGGTTCAATGGATTTATTTTTGTTAGAAATCTAATGCATCATCTTCAAGCAGTGTTGTAAATGAGTTTACTTATACTTACTAGGATTCTAGGTCTTTTGTACAGCTGAAATTTTATTATAAACAATTTCTATCTTCATTGCACAGTGTGACTATTATCTTTCTTGTCTAGAGTTAATTTGTATCTGTATTCTGTTGCTTCCATTTGAGATGATGTATCAATTGACTTATGTCATTCCTCCAGGAGGGCACAACGGTGATAAAGATGGTTATGCAATTCCTGCTGGGACCGATGTCTTCATTTCTGTGAGTACAAACATTTGCAACGGTGGACACCTTGTTTCTTAGTGAGGAAATGGATATTACATATGCATGGATTTTATGGATTAGAATCCTCCAGTGTAATACAGGAAAATGACGGTCCCTTTCTGTAAATCAGAATCACACATTTAATTTACAGTTTCTTAACAACCAAGAGAGGGTTACGGTGTCCCACACAGTTCTGTGGCTGTTTTTTGCGTGTGAGTAACTTGATGTGTGGGGAAATTCGTTGAGTCAGTACCCTAGAGGCAATCCTTTAGGTAGATCATTGCCTTCGAGATCCTAGACATGTCATTGATGCCCTGGTAGTGTTGGTGTTACTTATCTTTACTACCATTTTTGTTGCCAAAAAGATAAGAGTTCTTATATCTTGGTTTATTACTCACGCTTCCATATAACAGTTGTCTTGTAATTGTGGTTATTTTACACAACTTCACTTCGTTGATTTTTCATCTTACTTGATGTTTGTATTTGCTGCTCTAATATTCCTATATCCAGGTATATAATCTCCATAGGTCCCCATATTTTTGGGACGGCCCTCATGACTTCGAACCAGAGAGATTTCTAGTGCAAAGGAAGAATGAAGAAATTGAAGGATGGGCTGGTTTTGACCCATCTCGAAGTCCTGGAGCCTTGTATCCAAACGAGGTTGCTTCCTTCTCCCTTTTTTTTGTGTCTGTGTTACGCATTCTTGAACTAACACTGACAGGAAATGTTTCCGTGATCAGATTATATCGGATTTTGCATTCTTGCCTTTTGGTGGCGGACCACGAAAATGTGTTGGAGATCAATTTGCTCTCATGGAGTCCACTGTAGCACTGGCTATGCTGCTCCAGAATTTTGACGTGAAACTGAAGGGGACCCCTGAATCGGTGGAACTAGTTACTGGTGCAACTATACATACCAAAAATGGACTGTGGTGCAATTTGAGGAAGAGATCTAATTTACATTGACATAATTACGGTGGACATTATTTTTATAAAGAATGATGTATATTAGTATGATGTGAAACAAAATAACAAAAAAATTTGTGATGGATACATTAGTTCCTAAGAAAAAGAAAAATAAAAAAAGGTACTCCTTTGTCGCTGAGAACACATGGATACATTACTCATTTTAGCTAGGAGTAATTTTGTCATAAAATTATTAAATGTCTGATTGTTAGAATTTGAAAGTGTAAAAAGGTTATTTGATTGGATTGGGAATGAAGGGTGGTTTTTTAAAAGAGCATTTAATTATAGAAAAATTATACTCTCATGCAACATAAAAATGTTTTTTCATGTTGCTCTCACTGTCATATTTTTTTTTTTCAAAAAATCAGTAGAGTCCATTTTATTTGTCTCTTTACATAAAAAAATTGATCTCACATAGAAATAATTTCCTTAATTATAAAGTGATTTCATGTAATTTACTTTTTTTTAATTTTACATAATTTTTCGAAATCTACCCGATAACAAATATTTGGGGATTTGGACAAAAAAAAAATTTGAAAAAAATGTTTTCTTGTACCCGTTTGGCGCATTTTATTTCTATAAATATTGTTATTTAATTTTTATTTTTATTTTTTACTATCCAACAATATCAAATAATGGATTAAATTTGCCAAAGATAGCCGAAGACGCACATTAGAATAAGCGCAGTTGCATTAATTTCAGAAATATTTTGCCAATCAGATTAATTTTATGGTTTTTATATTAAATATAATTATTTGAGTTTTTTGCCAATATATTTTTATAATTTTACTTTATTTTGGGGTTTGTAATAAATTATTTCCCTAATCTTAAAATAGGTTAGATGAATTTTTTTTTAAGACTTCTTTTCGGTTTATTAATCATCCGACTAATTTAGTTTGAATTGGGTAAAATACAATTGTATTTCTAAGACTCAAACTCAAAATGGTTGATTAAATTGGATATTGTGTCATTTTATCTAGGAGAAATATTAAATTTATTGTTTGGTTTACATGTAAACATTTAAAAAAAAATGTGAATCTCGAAAGTAAAAGAATAATTTAAGGAGACGTTTGGTAGAGGATAATTTTTTTTTTTTTTGTCTGGAATCATGATTTTTGAAAATATAGTTGGAAAATAACTTTTCTGGAAATGTTAGAAAAAATGTGTTTGATAGATTAAAATATTGGTGGGAATATTTGTAGAATTTTAATATTGTTACGTTTGATTGATAGTAAAATTTTGATCGGATTTTGGGTAAAATTTACAAATGTACCCTCATTTTTATATATTAATCCGTTTTTTTACAACGCAAGTATAAGTCACTGGTTCATTCTTGTCTATGGTTTCACGGTTAATTTTTGGTTTCTTCGGAAAACACACAAATCCATCTGCGCGGAATTTTTTTGTTGAGATCCTAAAAAAATTTACGTTGATTTTGAAATCTTAATATTTCAACTTCTCTGGGATTATCTCACATTTTTAATTTACCAAACGTTGCATTTCAAGTTTATCAAGCCTAAGAATCCAAGGAAACCATAAAGAATCCGCCTAACAAACAAGGGTGTTTGGTTGAGGTGAAATTTTTTTTTACTAGAAAAATATAAATACTAGGGATCTGCAGAAAAAGTGAGTTAAATAGGAAAATTTTAAAAAATTTATTTGGTTGGCAAAATTTTACCATGAAAATTGAATGAAATTTATGAAAGTATGTTTGGTTGAAGATAAAATATTGATGAAAAAACTTAATAAAATTACAAAAATATCCTTATAAAAATAACCCTATTTTATTACAACATTCCAACGACAATAAACAATGTTATCTCCGTCTTTGTCTTCCAACGGCAATTAAAAAAATATCTTCGTCTTACTGCCCATCAAACCAAATTTATCAATTAACATTAACCCGAACTCATTTAGGGGGCGTTTGGTATGCGGAAATCTCGAAGATTCTCGAGAAACTGAATTTTTCTAAATTTTAAATTTATAGATATTATCATAAACTGAACGTAAAAATCATATTTTTACAAATTTTAAGTTTTCTTTTTTGCCGTATAACCAAGCTACGGATGTCAAGAGGTAGATCCATTTGCTTACCTCATCTTCCTGCAAAGCATAAGGCATGCATAACCACAGCCACACAATGGCTACTGTAGCCACTGTTGAAAACAGGATTTGGGAAAAATGAACCACTACATAAACAGATAGGATGACTCCAAGGGTTGTCTATATACTTACCGGAAAAAGTGTGACCAAGATGTGGAACCAAGTGTGACCAAAATGAACCACAGCCGACACTCACAATTGGAACCACCTTCGACTTGGATGTGGGTTTTGGGTTTCTTTAGTCATACCATTTTCAGAACATATGCAAGTTGAATGAGTGATAGATTTCTGCAAACTTTGCTCACGTGTTAAGGTAATGTTGTCACCTTTTTTATCACTTGAATAACTTAGTCAGTTTTTTTGTCAAATATCACCTTCCATTTAGCTTTCTGGAACAGTAAATTTGTTGATTTTTACATGCAATTGTAGATTGACAGGCAAGTGGCTTTGATGGATAAAATTCATCGTATCAGTGAACCAAACATGGAGAATTGAGAATTCATTCTGCGCTTAGCTAGAAAACTGAGAGAAACTCTTGAACCAAACACAACCTAAGGGCTTCTAGATGTGTGTGAAATATGATAAATATTTTCTCTAGTTTTTTTTTTAAAAAAAATTGCATAAAATTTCGATCTTAAAAAGTTTTTAATTTTATAACAACATAAAAATTATAAATATTACTACTGAATGTGAACTATTAAATCAGTAACTATGCAATTTAAAAAAAAAAATTGCAAAGAATCTTAATCCGTGTATAATATGAGATGGTGAAGTGTGTTAACAGGCTTAACTGATTTTATTTTATTTAAAAAAAAAAATGATTATGCAAGTGCCATGCCATGTTATTGTAACTAATTGTAAGTTCAATCTGGTAACTAGGTAAATGCCCTCCATGAAAATACAAGCATCCTTTTTATTTTCAAGATCCTTTTATTCTCTCCTCCCATATTTTTATTATTCATATTTTTTTCTTATACTTAAAATGACATAATATTCTTTAAAAGTACAAACATCAAATCCTATATTATTTATTTTAAAACTTGATTTGGAATTTAAGAAAAATGTTAAAAGCATTCCCGGTACCATACTAGTTTGTAATTAGATGCCAATAAAGTTATTTGATTTGATTTCGCGACACCTAAGCAGCAAGTCCGCTGGCATGTTATTTGAGTTTGGTAAGTAATTTCCTAAGGAAATTGACAATTCCGAAGAAAAAAATGGAACGTAGCTGGGATGGTCGTAAGTGACACCTAAGAATCCACAAATAGAGATAAATGTACCATCTACTTTTGGCGGTTTCCTCAACATCCTTGTCTGTTTGTCTTAATAGAAGAAGATAATACCAATTGTATGTTCATTGCCTTTTGAAATAAGACAAAAACCATGTTTTGGAAGCATTTTGGTAGCTTTCTTGCCATTCTCACACTCACCCCCACTAGGAAACAAATTTGAGGGCAATGTTTGTCTTTGCTAAGGCATGTTTGGACTCTTGCATCCTTAGGGAATACTATTACTCTTTGGCCAGCCCCGATTCCCTATCCACCTTAGTTAAAGACAAAAGAAAACGTCTAAATTGGATGTTTAAGTGAGAAAACAAACACAGTTTCCTAGAGAGAGAAAGACAGAAAAAGCCGGGTCTCTCTCTCTCTCTCTACCTATCTCACCAATTCCACACTCCACTGAGGAGTGAAGAAAAACAAAACAATAAAGACAAAGGGACCCTTCGCGCATTGTCGACAACGTAGCCATGAAGAAGTCCTTGAATCCGGAACTTGAGTCCAAACATTGAATTCCACTCCCATAGAAACACACAAAAAACTGCTCAACTATACCCGTTACGGTTCTGGTTTTTTTCTGCGTGTTCCAAGAGACAAGCTTTGGAATTTTCATGGGGTTTCATCCGGGTTCTTCTTCAATTAGAAAACCCACCAAGGACTAAGCTTTTCCTTGTTCGATTCTATAATTCCGCTAATTTGGTTTTTGGTAGGGTTCTCTCCTTTGTCCGTTAATGCTCCATGGTTTGCTCCATAAAGTTGTGTTGAATTAGTGGAAATTCTTTTACTCTTCAGTTTCTGAGATGAAGCTTGAGCTTCCAATCAATTTTTTATTTTTATTTTTTGTAATTTCCTTTCTTTTTTTTTCTTTTTTTTTTTAACTTATCCATTCTGCTTTCCGTGTGGGATCTGCAGAAGTTGACTCTGAAATCATCTTAATTATATAACCCAGTTCCTTTTGCTAAACGTTGTGTTTTGAATTTGTGTTTTCTTCTTCATTCCGTGTTCATTGGCTATCTCTTGCATAGTAAAGTGTGAGATGTTGATTAGTAAGAGCCTGAAACGTTTGTTTTGTTTAATTGAATTTGTCTGTGACTCTGACTGTTACTGACCACACTTTTCTTTATTTCCAAATTCCTAAGATTGTTGTTGTTCTTGTTACATGGGATCTATGTTTCAAGAAGAAGGGTCATCTTCTGTAACTTCTTCACCTCTACAGTTCTTCTCTATGATGTCACTTTCACCTAGCATAGGATCTCCCTACCCATTTCTTAGAGAATTGAAATCTGAGGAAAGGGGTTTGTACTTGATCCATTTGTTGCTCACTTGTGCAAACCATGTAGCTGCTGGTAGTCTTGAAAATGCAAACATCACACTTGAGCAAATTTCCCAACTTGCTTCGCCTGATGGTGATACTATGCAGCGAATTGCTGCATACTTTACCGAAGCACTTGCTGATAGGATATTGAAAACGTGGCCTGGCCTCCACAAGGCCCTCAATTCCACCAGAATAATTATGGTTTCTGAAGAAATTCTTGTCCAGAAGCTCTTCTTTGATCTTTTCCCTTTCTTGAAGGTAGCATATATTCTGACAAATCAAGCTATTGTTGAAGCTATGGAAGGGGAGAAAATGGTACATATAATTGATCTCAATGCCTCAGAACCTGCGCAGTGGATTGCTCTCCTCCAAGTTTTGAGTGCACGTCCTGAAGGCCCTCCCCATTTGAGAATTACTGGGGTTCATCAGCAGAAAGAGATTCTGGATCAGATGGCTCATAAACTTACTGAAGAAGCAGAAAAGTTGGATATCCCATTCCAATTCAATCCTGTAGTCAGCAAGTTAGAAAATCTTGATTTTGACAAACTTCGTGTGAAAACTGGGGAGGCACTAGCAATAAGTTCTATTCTGCAATTACATTCCCTTTTGGCCTTGGATGATGAAGCCTTGCGGAGAAAATCTCCTCTTCTGTCAAAAAACTCAAATGGAATTAACCTGCAAAAAGTCCTGCTAATGAACCAAAACACATTGGGGGATTTGCTTGAAAAAGATATGGTTAATGGCTATACCCCAAGTCCTGAATCAGCCTCATCTTCACCGGGATCTTTAACTGCTTCAATGAATGCGGAGAATTTTATTAGTGCCTTATGGGGATTATCACCAAAGGTCATGGTTGTAACTGAACAAGACTCTAATCATAATGGTTCGACTCTGATGGAGAGGCTACTAGAAGCTCTACATTCTTATGCGGCATTGTTTGATTGTTTGGAATCCACTGTATCAAGAACATCATTGGAGAGATTCAAGGTGGAGAAGATGCTTTTTGGTGAGGAAATCAAGAACATTATTGCTTGTGAGGGAGCTGAAAGAAAGGAAAGACATGAAAAGCTTGATAAGTGGCTTCAGAGACTTGATTTATCTGGGTTTGGGAGCGTGCCTTTAAGCTATTATGGTATGTTGCAGGCACAGAGGTTCCTGCAGAGCTGTGGTTGTGAGGGATATAGGATGAAGGATGAAAATGGTTGTGTAGTAATTTGCTGGCAGGATAGGTCCTTGTTTTCAATAACAGCTTGGAGACCTAGGAAGTAAGATCAAGTTCTGAAATGAAAAAGAAGAAAAATAGAGATGAAGTAGTGATGGGTAGAGTCTTGAGGTTTTTAATTTTTCTTTTTCTTTTCTTTGTTTGTATGAAGGAGTTTTGCCAATATTGTTGTAATAACTATTTATCAAGATCAGTTTAGAGATACTTCTATTTCCCAATTAAACTCCATCAAGAAAGTAATAAATGGTGTGAGGGAATGAAAGACTTATTTCTGGCTCTTTTGACTGCTGCTCATTTTTTTTTTGTCATGAACTCCTTTACCCTAACCTGTATCTAGTATGAGTACAAGCTATTTTATACCATTTAGCAAGTTATTTAAAAAAAATAAAAAAAATAGGTTATGTCTTTGTTATCTATTTTTCAATGTTGATGTTATTACCATTAAGTTTATAAGAGGATGAGCAATTCTCGGAAATGTATTCTTTCATGTGTAAATTTCACATGATTTGATTTTATGAGAATGGATCCTCTTATGTCTCTTTTTAACTTTGACTATGTCATATTTTAAATCTCAATCATTTATTGATAGATCAATAATTAATAGTTAAAATGATCATTTCCACTTTTTTTTATGAATTTTATCATTGAAATTATGATCGTTCATCTGGACTGAGATTTAGCTTATACATAGTTATTTCAGGAAGAGAGATGAGAGGATCTATTTATCTCTGTCTCACTTACAATTATTAAATAGACGAAACTTATCAACATTTGTAAAAGACAAAAATGGACACAAAATTTAGACATAATTGGATCATGTGAAATTTACATCCCAAAAATCTCGATGTGGACCCTAGAGCTTGTAATTATGATTTGGGAAGATAATAAATGGCATATATGAAGACTCATAAATACTCATCTTAGTTTTTCCTTCCTTAATTTTTTTTTCTTTTATATTTATATGAGATAGTGTTATTAACTAATTTTTTTTTTAAAAAAAAGAATAAAATTAGAAATGAAAGACTTCGGACAGTTGAAGTATTTCTTGGGAATTGAGATTGCGAGATCTAAACAAGGGATTTTTCCTTCAAAACAAAAGTATATCTTAGATTTTTTAACTGAAATAAGGATGCTTGGCTGCAAACCAATAGAGACACCTATAGTGATGAACCACTCACTAGGGATTTATCATGATTAGGTAGCAACAGATGTTGATAGATTCAAAGATTGATTGAAATACCGATTTATGTGTTCCACACAAGGCCAGATATAGCTTATGCAGTGAGTGTTGTAAGTATATTTATGCATGCACCGAGTGAAGATCATATGGATGTTGTCCATAGGATTTTAATGTATCTAAAGGGCTCTCTGACCAAGGACTACTGTTTCAAAGAATGATAACTTCAACGTTGAGGGCTGTACAAACTCAAACTAGGCTAGAGATAAAACAATTAGACAATTTACTTCTGGTTATTTTACCCATTATGGAAGGAAACCAAGTTGCTTGGAAGAGCAAGAAGTATAAGGTTGTGGCAAGATGAAGTACATAAGTTGAATTTAGGGGAATGGCTTATAGAGTGTGCAAACTATTGTGATCAAGAGCATTCTTCAAGACTTCTGAATTTGTAAAACTCAGCCCATGAGCGTACATTATGATAATAAGTCTGCAATAGAAATTGCACATAATCTAGTCCAACATGATCGTACTAAACATGGTGAAGTGGATAGGCATTTCATCAAGGAGAAATTGGATCAAAATATCATACATCTTCCATTTATCAAATTAGAAGGTCAACTTGCTAATATATTGACCAAATTAGTTTCTGGAGTAGCGTTCCAAAGTGTGATTGACAAGTTAGGTATAATTGATATCTATGCACCAACTTGAGGATCAATGTTGGATTGCAAACATTTGAATTTGAATTTGTTATCTGTTTCTAGATAATTATTGTAGATAAGGAGTTTTGATTTGTAATTATCAATTAGTTAGGTTGCTCCTATTTTAAAGCAGTTGTTGGAGAATACTTGATCTCCTTTAGTGTATAAAGACCCTGTGAGGAAAGGTAAATAAACTTAGGAATGAATTCAGATATTGGTTCCATAGTTTTAACAACTACATTTTTAAACAATTGGAACACTCAAAAGAACAACATTGTGAAAAGAACAACACACAAATCTTGTATGTCATTCAACAAATATACTAATTCCCTTTAAGTCGATTTCTTCCATTTCTCTCTTCTTCTTTTTTGATATTATCCAATGTTCATTGATCACTTGATTAGTACGATTCGAGTCAAGTAGGATCACAAAGACAGCAAAGCTTTTCCTACAAAATTTTAAAGTATTAAATGATTTACTCCTAACGAATAAATATAATGACTTTAGTGTTACTCGTGCCACTAGATAAATTAATCATAAAGCTCAGTTTTGAAATTTGGGAATAAGGTATTTTGAAAAAAAAATTATATTATAAAAGAGAAATAAAATTTACAAACACCCTGAATTTTTTTTCCGAAAACCCCAAATATGATATATAGGCTTTTTTGCCATTCAAGTATATATAGATCAGGCGGGAAATTGTAAAAATAATCTAAAATAGGAATCCAAAGCAATCCAAGGTATATTCGATATACCATTTAGCAAGTTATTGAAAAAAATGGGGTTATGCCTTTTATGCCTATTTTTCAACATTGATATTATTATCATTAAATTTTGTAAGAGGGTGAGAAATTCTCAGGAGTATATTTTCTCACGTGTAAATTTCATATGATTTCGGCTTGTAGATATCTTGAGGAAACTCAAAAATTTCACGTGATTTGATTTTTTGAGAATTTTTTGAGAATTGATCCTTTTATGTTTCTTTAAGGATTACACATAGACCTCTTATTTAAATTCTTTTGTTACATATAGATATTTTTCAATCACAAGTTGTGACTAACATATTTTGAATATATGAATTTTCAAAAGGAAAATAAGTTTGTCTCAAAAGTTGAGAATTAAATCATTCCAATGTAGAGAACCAATATAATGGGTTTGCTCTTAAGATTGTTTGTGACATATTTGTCAAGCGGATCCAGGGGAGCCTGTGGCAGGGGATCATCATCAATGAACTAAGCTAGGTCAATCACATCAAGTGAATCCGATACCATGTTACAACCCAAAATCTTAAGGCCTCGGGTCTATCTATTTATATCATTTAAGAGGAAGCATACCAATATTGAGTTTAACACTTGAGAGGGAAGATTATTGAGATATTCAAGTGTGATGAGTCTCGTATTGATTGGTAATGAGCTAAGTGAAGTGGATATAAGTGTATGAACCCATGAATCCAATACCTGAAGGTTTTGGATTGAGATGTGGTATCGGACTCACTTGCTACATTTGGTGTAGCTTAACCCATTGGTGGTGGTCTCTCACCACGTGCTTCCCCTGGACTTCACTGACAGTGATATCATAGCTGGGTTGGGCTCGAGCTAGCCAGGTGTTTAGTTAGGAAGCAGGTTAAATACTTGGACCTTGGAGTATTCGGTTGAGGGTGAGCATACCAGTGTTGGATTTCACACTTAAAGAAAAGATTGTTGAGTTATTCAATTGTGATGAGTCTAACTAAATAAGACACTTTGACAACAGTGGTGTAGGTCTTCAATAAAAAAAAATTCGATTTTTGGATTGCCACGTGATGTTTTGATAACACAGGAGAAGTATGGCAATTTTGTTAAGTACTTTCCTGAGTTTTCAAAACTTTTGGGGTGGCCATTGCTCGCTTAGTTTTCAAAAACATCTTATTTATTTATGGAAAAAATGTTTGTCATTTATTTATCTTTTATCGATATATTTTTACCAACATTTTTGTAAAGTTACGCGTTGCTACAATTAAGAAACTCTCTAAAAATTATTGTTGTGTTTGGCATAACGTTGAATCATCTAAAACCCGTTTGATGAAAAATTGTCTCATAATATGTTAATGTTTGAGGCAAAATCAAATTTGAAGCAAAACTTGATTCTAACACTCATTTTGTTGCTTTTACGGTGAGCAAAATCAAGTTTATATATGTATTTACAATTAGATTTTTAACATTAATTTATTCTTAATCTAATCCAAAAGATAAAAGCTCTTTTTATTGTATATTTAAAGGAGTTTAATTTTGTCATGTTGCATGACAATTAAATTTTCATGTTGTGACTCAACTAGTGGTGGGTTCCAAATTTATTAAAAAAAAAAATTTTGTACGCAAATCAAAAAGTCACCACATGATAATTGAATTCTCATGCAACATGAAAAAATGTTTTTCCATATTTAAAAGTTATTTCAACTACGACTATCCCAACAATATTTATTATGTTAAAATCACTTTTCAAATAAATGTTTCTAAACATAAACTATTTCACACAAATCCACTTTTAATCAAAATCAACTATTACAAAATCAAATTAATATAAAAAAAAAATCAAATTTATTCAAAATAAAGTTTTCAAACTCTAATTCAAACTCACACTACATTACCTATGGTTTGAAATAGAATAAGCTAATCGATTAATGATATCTCCCATCACATAATAGTTTTATTGTGAATTGGGTGGTAGAGCTCGTTCCCTAACTCGAATATCGAAGATAACATTTAGAGTTTGTTCATAAAAAAAGAGTTTCTGTCTAGTTTTTTTTCATTCCTCTGTATCCAAAAAAAAAAAGAGTTTGTTCATAAAAAATCTATAGCCTGTATAAAAAAAAAAAAAAAATCTAGGGCTTCAATTTTTATTATATTTTCTTTGGGTTCCTGGATACTAGCATGATAAATAACTGAGCATTATAGAAGTTCTTGTACCCAGTAGTTTATAACTTTATATTTCACTAGAATCGTGGTAAATTGGGGCAAAAACTTATTTTGTAGTTTAAGGTTGAGATAAATTTATGTAGAGTCATGTGAGCCTATATAAAAAGAAGAACGGGAAAAAATAAAACATGATTTCATATATTTTTATGTATATATAACAGATAAATTTATGTCTTATAACATGAAAATCATTAAAGGTAAATTTTATTATTATTATTATTATTTTGTATCAAGTTAAATTTTATTATTAAATACCACTGAACTTTACTTTTCAATTGTTTATAAATAAAATAATAATATTCAGTATAGTCATTTACATTATAAACTTTATAAACAAAAGGTAGAGTGTGTATTATTTTAAAGGATATAAAGTTGTGTCATTTTAAAATAGAAAGAGATA